TCTTAAATAAAGCATATAAAACAACACAAAAAGGGATGGACTGTTTTAAACACAGTTTGTTAAGACTTCTTTAATTCAGTGTGTGTGTAGTTGCGCGCGCATAAGACAATGTTTACAATTATTATCCGGTTTTAATAAATTGAAAGAAAATACAAAGACATTTTTTTGCTAAAAAAAGATTATTACCTAAAGGAATGAATGAACAGGTGGAATATACATATATATATGTACATATCTATATATGCGCAAATATGAACACAGTGAAACACATTAAATGATGACGTGATTTCCAGTATATCATCAAAATGTAGCGGAACTGTGCACCTGGTTTCATTCAGAATCTTATCAATACATGGAAAAGTGTATATATATGTATGCGCATATGTGTGACAAAGATAAGCAGCATCAAAACAATCAACAAACTCACTGTTTGCTTACAAACCAATAAAGTAGGGAAATAATATTGTACCTCGGACTATACCGATAATAAAAAAAGGGCATGAATAACCTCGGTTAAGGTGTGTTTTCGGTTCTATCAAACAACAGCCAAAGATAAATACGAACAGTATTTCCCCAGTGTTTCCAACGGAATTTTGGTCATACACACACACAACAACAAAATTACTTTGCTTTTACTCAGTATGTAAACTTGGTGTAGCATGAGCACTTAGAAATGTTAGACACTAATGAGGCTGTGTAAAAAGAGGGTTAAAGAATAATGAAATGACTACAAAAGTACTTCCAGAAAGTACGTTCGAAAGGAGCTTTGGTACACTTTATTCTTAGTTTCTTTAATAATAGAAGAAACAAGAAAACTGTCGAACGTTAGTCATCAGTATCAGCTCTGAGTCATATATCTCAACGTTTACGGCCGATGTACTACGTGAATTGACGTCGCACACAAACCAACAAAGTCACTTCATTCAGCTCTGTGTCAACCAAAGACTCGACAACGAAAGGAGATAAAACCAACATCATCTACAAAAATAGATTGTAACAACTGCGAAAAACACTACATTGGCCAAACTGGACGTCCCTTTCGTCTTCGTATCCATGATCATAAACTAGCCGTCAAAAGACATGATATCCACTCCCTCATATCACTACACACAGACAACCACGGACATCAATTCGACTAGGACAACGTTCAAATATTAGACAGAGGAAACACCAAGAATGCTAGAGAATTTTTAGAAGCCTGGTATTCCAGTGAATCATCAATCAATAGATACATTGACATAGACAAAATTCACCAATCGATAAGAAGGAAATCTCACACACAAAGGGTCAAACTTCAGGTCAAGGAAACAATCAGTACCAATACAAGTAGCCTAGAGGGTGTGAAAACACACAAAAACAACCAATCACGTTCAAGGTCACCAGGAGAGATGACTAATAAACTCGTGGAGAAATCTAAAAGCTCACTTCAACAAATTGAAGTATGCGCTGAAGATGTTGCCTAGTAGGGCAACGAAAGCTTCGCAAATAAACCATCCAGCTCAGAGAACACAACTACATCAAAACCACGTGGATTTCCAGGACCGACCCTAAGAATAGTGATTCACAAGTATTCTCAAGTCTATTACACCTATTTTTATTAGCAAATAATACTCTAGCTCTTCGTTCAATGTGTCTAGTTTCAGTGAACGGTATGAAAGTTATGAGAACAATTTATCCCTACAACATCACCAACAACTAATGGATATTTTGAAGCATTTTACCATTCACTACTAAGTATATTACAAGCAAAAATCATACATACAAAAATGTGGACACTATCTACTACTAGTACAGAACCCGTTTGTCAGATTGAATCTTTTTTTTTAAGTGTGCTTTAAAACAAGTAGATGGTGTGAATCAAATTAACCAGTAAATGAAGTAACAGTAGGATGTTTACAAATGAATGAGTATTCTCATATGTCTAATTTTCATGACATTTTAAAAACGGAAACATTGCACAATACATCACATATTTACAGACAAAATACACTGGTCACACCAAATTATCATTTATAATGTAATTGAGAGAGATAATCTCAAGACAGAAACGTTGATAAACGATAAGCAAAGATTTGTAATATAAAGGCAAATCAAGTGACTGACTGAGTTTCAACATACAATATTGCACAGAAATGAAACAGCTCAAGTTGCCACGCTCCACTTAGCACAGCAAAGGCAGAAAAAAGAAAAAAATGGCAGAAAGAATAAGTACGTGGAAAAACATGAAGACTTATGGATCTGGGGGATTACAAAGAGTGAATCCATCTGCGCCATTGAGAAAGATTTTGAGTCATATCACCAATATTCTCAAGCCACTGGGGTTCTTAGCTTCTTCATGAAGCCAGACAGGCAGCCTACAACTTGAACTAATAGTCAAAGACTATGTGTTGATGACAGGTTTTGATGTGACCATCCCTAACTCCTTTCCAACCTAACCTTTGTCATTAAATGCTTGACGAGAAAAGTGGACGCCCCGCATGCGTACCGCGTGCCTTAACCATCTCAATCGATGCAGCTTCATAACCCCATCGATTGACTTGACCTCCTTACATAACACTTTACCCAACTTCACCATATTATACCAATTAACACGGGATATAGAGCAAAAATCCCTGGTCAAAGATAGCTAGCCTAATGGACTGATTACTGACGAAATCTCATGAGGAATACAAGATGGTAGTGTAATGTTTACCAACCTACGTCATCTCTGGCTAGCCTTATCATATCTTCAACTTCCAGTGGTCATGTGTCACAGAAAGAACTGTCACTCAGTACACAACTCCTTTGATTGGTAACAGGATACCACACCTACGCCAGAGATGACGTAGGCTGGTAAACATTATATGACCATTTTGTATTCCTGATGAGATTTCGTCAGTAATCAGTCCATTAGGGCTAATGCAACTTACCATAAAAATGAAATGGTCAACTACTCCACTCCCTATCCTTAAACTAGGAGTCAGTGAAGTCCAATACTGCAGCATTATATCATACTTGACGGGAGCGAATCGTATACAGAATACTCCTAGATTTCTGCTCAAGGTGTTCAAAAGACTCCACATTTATATTCATTGTCTTCACATAAAAGGACAATATCATCTGCATACTGCAGGGGACTGTTCCTTGATAACAATTCAACCACTAAGTTTCTGAAGTTAATTAAAGTCATATCCATCTATGATGAAATTAAACAAAAATGGGAAAAACGAACATCCCTGACGCGCACCATTTTTTTCCTTCACGTTCTTCAGTGGAACATAGGGCTTCAAGCTAGTGGCTTGAAGTCTGTAGCAGTGTTATTACAGGATGGGGTTGCTAGGCCCCATGCCCAACCTTTCCTCTTCACCAGCATTACTTCCGGCTTAGCGAAGTAAAGGAGTGCGCCGACCTGGGATCGAATCCTGGACCATATGCATGGTCGGCGAGCGTCCTAACCGCTATGCCACCACGCGCACCATTGGTTGTCATCAATTAAGATAACAACTCACAATAAATTGTAACACGACTACATGAGTCTGAGTAAACTGTCCTAACTGGAGTGACATACTTGGTTGGCACTCACTTCACTGTCATATAATGCTACAGAACGTCTCAGTCGATAGAGTCAAATGTCATCTTCACGTCAAAAAATGCGAAAAGTGATGGATACCGGTAAGAATGTCAATGCTGCAGAATCTGTTGAAGTTCATTCACATGGCGTTCACCATAAATGGCGATAACAAACGGAGTGAATAGTGGAATATCAAATAATCGGTTAGAACATGTTGATGTGTTTAGGCTAAATACTGCATAATAAGTGCATGAGAATCTACTATACCCATCTAACTACATAAACTACAGTGACTTTTAACATAAGTGATAACAGATCATACAAATCACTAAAACATGTAGTCAAGATGGCAGGATGAAATATATAAATTTTTACTAAACAATGAAATGAATAAAATAAAAGCAGGAATCACTACATCACTACAAAGCCTCCACAAGAACTGGCGCGGAATCATGTTCCTGTCCACACCAGGCAAATTATTAAGTCGTGTCATCCTGGAGAGCATAAACGATGTACTGGATGCAGATGTCTGATTAGAACAAGTTGGATTCAGGAAAAGCAAGTTATGCATGGACCAAATAGCAAGTCTACGAATGATTTGCAGATAAGCAAACTACCGATAACAAGTACAAGTCACAATCAACGGAAAAACCCTGAAAGAGGTTACTTCCTTCACTAGTCTAGGTAGCATTGTTTCAACTGCAGGCTGGAGTGATGAAGAAGTCGAAAGCAGGATCGAAGAGGCTAGACAAACTTTTATCTCTCTTATATCAGTTTGGAGATCTTCTGCACTCAGCATAAAGAACAAGATTGGGATTTTCAACACCAATAATAAGTCAGTCAGTACTTCTATATGGGTCAGAAAACTGGCTAAAGTGGGATGAAAAGCATTTCCAACAGGCTACAAACTTTTATCAATAGCCGGCCTCTCTACATACTGAAGAACAGATGGCCAGAAGGAATCAGCAACAAGAAACTTTGGGGACGAACCGATCAAGCATCTACTGGTCAACAGGTATGCCGGAAAAGAATGAAGATGGATCGGACACACGCCTAGAAGACCACTGGGTGACATCGCACGCCGAGTAGAAAACTGACGAGAAACGATGAGTTGGCCGTCCAAGGGTGACATGGAAGAGATAGTGCGAGGAGGAGATGAGAGCTTATGGACAATCGAGGAGCCAACTGAAGAGCAGTGAAGAGAATATGATAAAGTGGGGATGTGTTGTTCAAGCCGTGTGTTTCATTCGGGACCCAATGGAATAATAATATTATAATAAGTACTGTAATGAAATGAATTTTTTTTAATCAAACGAACTAAAGCGATTCGGACAAAGAAATAGACTGTTAAACACGTTACCGAAAAAATGTACACTAGGACGGTAAATTTTTGTATGTAGAATCATACTACTTATTAGTAGTAAAATCTGTAATATACAAAAAGTCTCACCTGACAACTGCCCGTCTGATATCGCCAACCGTGTGAGTATTATTTAATCGAACTACGATTCTAAAACAACAACAGAAAACAAAAATCTGATTTTAACATCTACTTCAGAAACAGTTTAACATCAGCTGATGAAGTACGCCAACTAAAGCATAAATGAAAAAGATGACACTAATGATTATATGTCTTCTCAACTGCATTCCCTCAATTTCCACTGATTTGGTGAAATATGCAGCTCCATCCATTGGAACGAATAAGAAATGTAATATGTGTACATGACTGCTACCTTCCCCAATGTTACCTGAAGTAGGACAAGGTTAAAGAAGAGTCAAGGATGGTCAGTAGGAAACACGACTGTTGGTGTGAGCCAAGTAGAGAGGTGTAGTGATTGATTAGAGTCGTCTGAAATGGTAAAGACGTACACTCTACTTGTTACACAGATTCTGGAAATTTTCTTTAGTTTTTATATGCTTACTCTCAATGTTACTCTCTCTCTACTGTAAGTTTCTGTTCATCGTAGTATTATTACACATCTCTTCTCTATTTTCGTGAGCTTTCTTTAATTGCGAAAGTTTGAACTGACGTTCATCTACATTAAGTTCTACACAGACAAATCTGTCAGGTAGTCAATTAGTATGGTGCTAAAACTAGAAGTTAGGGAATGTAAACAGTGAAAGATTATCTTAGGCTAGCTAATCGTTCCCCGACCGATAGCTGCTACTTTGACATTGTAGTTGGGCTTGCATATCGCAAGGAACCAACAAGCAACATTAGCTGGAACTAATGTTCATGCAGGTCCTACCATGCACATCTGTGCAAAGTTCTACGTTGAAACCAGTCAGTCAGCTAATCGTCCTACGCTAACTACAACAGAGTTAGTACTGAATATATACGTAAGTTTTCAAGTATTGGTTTTGTAGGAATTGGACCGATTGGATGGAGGATTTCATCATGAGCTGATATTAGTTAGAAAACCACTGGAAAACCTAGGATTACTGGACAGCTATTTCGTCCTAGTTTGGGACTCTTCATTCGTACGCACCCACCGGCGTTCGAACTTAGGTCCACTACTTCAAAACTGATCCGATGGTCACTAGCGACTGGCCCTATTTAGTCAGTGACCTGGGGTTCTAGTGGGAAGCCGTGACCATTAGGGTACAACAGGTTGAAGGTGAGAAGAGTTACTCATCGAAGAAGACATTGAGAAATGGTCCCGCTATGTTGTGAATTGGCAGAAGTTAGAATTCGTGGGCCATTGGATCGTGTCCCAGTGGCTCAATGGTCTACAAGCTCGCTAGCCTTGTAACCAGAAGGTCCTGAGTTCGAAACCCGGTGGGTGCGTACAGTGAAGAGTCCCAAAATAGGACGAAAGAGCTGTCCAGTACTCCCTGTAGGTTTTCCAATGGTTATCTAACTGATTTCAGCTCATGATGTAATCCTCCATCTAATCTAAGTAACTATTAATGAAGCATGCGGAACAGTGTTCAACCAACTTAATGTCTGCATACTGGAAATTTCATAAACAAAATTATCTAGCAAGCCTAAAATACCACATAGCCTTCATTTAGTGTTTAACAGGTGTATAGTAAGACAAAATCAACTTTGAAGTGCATCATTACAATCGAGTTTGTTCTCAAATGTGTTTATAATAAAGACGATATACTGCAGTCTAGAAGCTAACCTACAATGCTGTAAACAAAGAAAGAGATACTCTTACTTTACATACAACTTTTTTATACAGAAAATACCGTAATTAGATAAACACTGATTAATGAAACTAATTTGTCCTAACTGTCTTGAATAAGATAAATCGACGTGAATTAAATCACTTCGGAAAATCAATATAACAGCTTATATCACTTCTAATTTTGTAGACGATTTGAATGTTTCTCAACAATTAAGACACACCCTTAATTTCAACAATATATATATAGGCAAAATCTAATTTTAAGAACATGAAAACGTGTTTTTACTTAACTTTGTTATCTAAAAACTAAGTAGAGATACATAACAGTTTAAAAAAATACAGAAGATTAATGGGAACTTATCTGCTGCCAGCCGCTATTTTAAGTAAATTTTGAAGATAACTTAAAATCACATAACGTTAATACTATTTATTCAATAAAATGTTTTGCATGGAAGGAAAAAGCTCACCTTGATCCATCAGGCAAACGAATTTGTATCTGTGTGACTGGCTTAGAGTCGTCCACGCTAACAGGGGATGATTTTTTTATTTCAGCTTTCTCAGTGACTTTTGGTTCAGTTGAAATCATTTGAGGAAGTGGAAAACCAAGCATTTGGCCTGTACCAGCGAAAGGTTTAACCTTAGGAGTAGGAGGAGCATGCCATTCTTCATGATGATGATCTTCAAGCATGACATTAACCATGCCTCCACCGGCAGATCTTAAAAGTTCCTAGAAGAAGCGGTGAGAAAGATAGAAACAACGCTTATTACTACATGATAAACATGTATCGTTGTTTGTGATGCTGAGCACTACAAAGTGACAAGTATTTGCATGATTATATTTTAATTATCCTATGACATACTGACCCCATTAAATAAATAGGCCACGAAATAACCTGACCTGTAGTCTTCAATATCCTAGATTCAGTAGTCATGGTCATCCGCCCTTCAAAATATTTGGGCAGATCACATATAGAAGGTAACTTCCATTAATCACAAAGGAGTAACAAATGTCATGTCACTAGTACTTTCAGTGGTTAGGACTCTCGCCGACTATGCTTATGGTCCGGGGTTCGATCCCCTACCGACGGACACCCGATATCTATGGTCGGCCTGCAAAATTTGGGCTACCGATATCCATGCTGAAAATTCCATACTTGTACTGAAAATACGGTGTGGCATCAAGCTGTAATCAAACATTAAATTAAATTTCAAAATGGTCATCAATCTAGGATACTCGCCATTGCCGTACACTTTGCATTGATATAAGGTGACTCAAAACAGTTGGCAGGAAGCCACAGCTTATTGGCATCCAGCAGCAAGGAGTACTAGCGATTTCCGTGATACGGGTGTTGAGCTGATTAGCACAGTGATAACACACACACCCCACCGCATTGCTCCTCGGATCTATGAACTAAGATAATGCATTGATTTATACTGGGTGACGTTGGTAAAAGATGATATCAACTCCATTAAGACTACAGATACTCTTTGCCAATGAGTGTCATCAACCACTAAACCTAGGTCTAGGGCTTCCTGTCATATGCATCCAATCATTCAACAGCAAAGCCGTCAACAGGGACCTAGACGACACCAACCCTTCAAACAGGCAAATTACCACTCTTTCGCAATTACCGAGTGAGAGGTTTTCAGACAATACCTACTGCGGAAGAACGCATGTAGAATACATGATACATCGTTGAACTCCCTTTATGAACACTTGTGAGTTAAGCAAAATCTAAAACAGTGACTTGATTTATTTTTTTATTACAGCTTGATTCCACACCGTATTTTTTGGTACAGGTATGGAATATTCAGCTTGTGATATCGGTAGCCCAAATTTAGCAGGTGTGCGTCGGCAGGGGATCGAACCCCGGACCATGTGCATGATCGGCGAGAGTCCTAACCGCTGTGCCACCGACGGCCATATTACCTTAAAAAATACTAGTCTCTTAAAGAAATCTATCGTAATCAAAGTGAACAGAAATAGCATAAGTGAAAACCTATCAGCCTCCTTTTAAATACTGTCAAATTAATTGCGAAAAAATAAAACATTCAGAAATTACGGAAACTACTCAACTTAAGTATGTACCTACAAGTTTTCGGAAAATGTAGGATGAACAAACACGGCAAGCAAACTGAAGCAGAATCATTGCCAAACGACACTCACTTGAGGGATCTGCCCACTTTGTATAGCATTGAAAAATTCAGAAGCTTCTGGGTCAGTATAAGAACGCAACGGTCCACTGTCTAGACTGAAGCCATCACGCCACATTTTTACAACAACATTCTGTTCAGAGACGCTGCTTGAGCTAGGAGCACAAGAAGCAGTTGACTCTAACTGCGGTGTAGCATTAGGATCATCACCTAATCTAAATAATTGGAAAAAAAGATTAAACAAGATTAAGGACATATGTTTCGATGTAGAATTTGGGAAAAGAGAAATCTATATGAAGTAACAGTGGGACGCAGTGTAAACAATAGCAGATCTGAACAAACTTAACGACTTATATGAAAAGGCAAGATGATATGTGGGCGAAATTATATCTATTAATGTTAAATGGAGTATTAGAAGAGTGGAAGTGAAACTGTGATGAATCGTTACCATTTGAAATAATGGGTGCTAGATTCAAGTCACAACAGGAAAACTACCACCAACTGGAATGTAGGCATATTCAGCTGACGAGTTCAAAAATCGAACGAAAGGCGCACACTTCATTCTGCTGCTAGGCAACACCTATCAAATAATATTTCCAGTAGTTATTTACTTTAGCTCTATGATATTTACCGGTAACAGTTTGTGTACAATGAATCTACAGTGTGGCATCAAATTGTTCATTGTGTTCATACTCATATAACATTTTAATTATATACAGTGAAAACAATAACTTCCTGTTTAAAAGAATAGTTGTAATTCTTATCTAGTCCTAAGAATACTGATAAACATGATATGATAACGAACAAATACTATTTACGCATACATTATATTGGATAAGGTAAAATGAGCTGGATAGTCGTGAATAAAAATTTTCACAGAAAAAACAGCAAGATACACTTTTAACAAAGAACACCACCATGCTTCAGATTGTATCAACTTCGGTGTTATAAGAGGCTGCTGCTGGCTGGATTCAACATAGAACTTGGAACCGAAGTTCAGCAGTTCGAGTTGCCACGTTCCAAATAGCACACAAAGGTAGACAAGAAGATGAGTGAAGAGAATCAATAGAGTTTTGACAAGTATGAGTGAAACAGAATGAGTAATGGTAGAAAGGAATATGAAATATTACAGAGACTGAATACATCTGCGCCATTGACAACGACTTTGAGCCATGTTATAAGAGGCTGCTAGTTTGAGTCACACTCATTCATAAAGTACGAATTCAAGAAAACCAAAATCAAGTCAACAACAGTTTAACATAACATTATATGCCTAAAACTGGATACAGTACTGGGCAACACATCTTCGATACTAGAAGAGCTCAACCAGAGAGACAAATCCCTATCGTGTCTCTGTTGCAACCTGATAAATAACAAATTCATTCATATGATTCAGTCTTACACGTTCACCAGTACGAATAACGAGTTACCTACGCTGTACTGACGGGTTACATAAGTTACGACATGCAGTAATGATACTCCACAACCTTCTTCGAAAAACATAATATCAGAGTCGTACACAAACATACAGTCACTCCAACATTATTTAACTTTTGTTGTGTGCAAAACAGAATAAACAAATGACAAATTATAGATAGCAGATAAATCGTTTTGCCTATACCATAGTTGCTTGTCTGACTTGCACATCGCAACGACCCAGAGAGTTATACTGGCTAAAATGAATGCCCTTGCAGACACTAGCATGCCAGAAAGGGAGGTTGGATAGAGGTTCGACTACCATAGGGTACGTTGCTTAATTTGTTGTGGAGTTTTGACAGAGAAGCCATGACGCATATATGTGTAACACTAGTAAATTATTTCATTCAAGTAACCGACAAGTCAGTTATACTGCCCTCTTGCTCAGAGTCAGAAAATGTAAAAATTGTATATCCCGACCTAACCTACAGTAATCCACAGCTTATAGTAAGATCTCCTGTACGGTGTAAGAATAGTGGTGGAATAAAGATTACAAAACCTACTACTCGATTCAATTCCGGTGAACAGTTGTCTGTGTGCTGCCCAGCTACACTAACTGACTGACTGGTTTCAAGGTAGAACTTTGCACAGATGTGTAGCAGTTCGAGTTGCCACTCTCCTTCCATGTAGCACACAAAGAGAAGAGAGTAAAAAGAGATTCAAAAGAGAGAGATAAACAGAAATGTGAGGTAAAAAGAATAGCAATATGGAAGAACAGAATTTTATTGGATATTATAAATCACAAAGAGTGAATGCATCTGCGCCAGCCGTTGAGAACTATTCTGAGAATTTTTCATGAATATCACTAATTCTCTCTAGTCATTGTTTCTTACAATCTTGAGGACCCCAAACAGGGAGTCTGCACCTCCCTACATGATTTAAGCTAACTGTTATGGATTTCATTGACTGATGAAGCCATGTTTTGGCTTGACCACCACTAACTCTTTTCCAACCTGTCGAGGAAGGAGGTGAGTAGGCATGCGTAACACATGTCCTAACCACCTCAATCGGTGTAACTTCACAACCTCGTTGATTGATTTCCCCTCCTTACCTAGCAATCGACGCCTAACCTCAATATTGCTCACATTATTATACTACTTAACAGGGGAGATTGAGAGCAAGCACCTATAATCACAGACAGCTAGCCTTTTTGACGTCTTCCACTTTCAATGGCAATGTATCACAGCCATAAATGAGAACGGGGCGGACTGCTGAGCAGTACTGATGTCCTTTGGTCGACAACCGGATATCACGTCTACTAAGCCAGAGAGGGCGTAATTTGGCATATGCCAAACGAGCCTTCTATATCCGTGCTGAGATTTCGTCAGCGATCAACCCGTTGGGGCTGATGGTACTTCCCAAATAAGTGAAGCGGTCAACGTGCTCTACCACTTCACTCCCTATTTCTAATCTAGGGGTCGGTGTAGTCCAATCCTGCAACATCATCTTACATTTTACAGGGGCGAATCGCATACCAAACACACGAAGATTGCTGCTCAAGGTGTTCAGAAGACTCTGCATTTTGTCAGCGTCCTCGCCTAGAAGGACTAAATCGTCTGCATATTCGCCACTAGTCGTCCGTCCACTTCAGATGACAACTCGCCATAAGCCCTCACCTGGCTGCATGAGTACGAGTAGAGTGCCTTAATCAGTGCAATGTATTTTCTCAGCATTCCTTTTACAACCAAGCATCGCCAGAGAACCTCTCGGTCGACAGAATCGAATACCGCCTTTAGGTCAAGAAATATAATGATTGTTGGACGCCGGTAGGAATGCCTATGTTCTAGAATCTATCGGGGGGTGAAGATATGATCAATACACCCTCTTTCTGGCCTCAAACCTGCCTGGTTTTCTCGTGTTTTTGCCTCCCAAGCACCAGTTTTGTTGAGCCTAGGACTTTAGATACTATATTAGCCAAGCTAATCCCTCTGTGATTATCACAAGAAGACTTGTCCCCTTCTTGTATATCGGGATGATCAGTGACTTACACCAACCCGATGGGACTTCCTCTGATTCCCAGACGCTGCCTAGAACCTCAGTTAATACAGACAGTAAACTGTCTCCACCATACTTAAATACCTCTGGAGTCGTTCCATCACGTCCCGCTGCTTTGCCTTGCTTCAGATTAGTGACAGCTTTAGTAACTTCAGTTAAGGAAGGAGGACCTGTGTCTATATCCCATTCAGGGAGGTGTTGGATGTTCGGCAGGTTAAGTGTGGCTGTAGGCCAACTAAACTGCTCCTCATAGTGTTCTTTCCAGCGTTCCAGTCGTCTATCCTGGGAGCTAATTATAGTGCCATTTTTCTCCGAGATTGTTTCACTTATAATTTGCCTTTTGCCACCTGTTTCTCTGATAAGCCTGAATAGTTGTCTGGTGTTGCCAATCGCCAATGCCTTTTCCATCTCTTTCGCTTTTGTCGCCCACCACTGTTCATGGTCGTGTGCAACAAACATAAGGACAGACACTGTCTCGTCTGACAACCATCAAAATCAAGTCAACAATGGCAACAAACAGACTACCTTATGTTATGGATATAAAACATTAATGTAAGATTACCGTACCTTTTAGAACACCTGCGTGAACTACAACTGTGCATTACATTGTGAATGTGTATACCTACAACCGAATGGACGTTAAAAAAAGAAGCGACGAAGTCATCACGTGTCTAACTTATGAAAATATGAATTCTGTATTCAGGGAGAAAATAACATATTAAGCAATGGTCCAACTGGCTTATGAATGTACTTCAGTTGCCAACTACCAATGTCCAGCCAGAATGAGATAGATGTGTCAGTCTTCCAACCGTAGTTGAGATTTTAAGAGCTGAGCCTAGTTCTAAAAGAGGCGAAGAGGTACAGCCTGATGACATAACTCCAGAATTGTGTAAGGATGGTGATGAATAGTTAACCAAATCAACTTAGATATTAGGCAGTGTATGGATTGATATAAATCATTGACTGACCCGTTTTATAGGAGAGGAAACAAATCTTCTTGTGATAATCACAGAAGGAACCGCTTGACTCAGTAATTTAGATGGTAGTGTAGTACAATAAACTTAGACAGTATAGGACCAAATTTAATTGACAAATAAATTACACAATAATGACAATCAATCTTAGCAATAATCTTAGATAACCAACTTACTTATAGCCAGCTCCACTGAAAGGTAACCGTCTACTGGATTTACTCTTCAGTTCATCATATTTGGTTGCATCTAACACTTCTGCTCCTTTACCTTTAGCAGCTTGGAAAAGATTGCGAACAAACACATCAGGAGATTGTGAAGGGTCAGGAACGATTTTACGATCACGTCCTGGAGGACCAAGAACTTGTTGACCACCTCCTCCAGTTTCTGAACCACCAACATAAAATGCTTGCCTTTCGTCTGACTCATCATCACTAAACAAAGTAAACATTTAATGTACTTTTCTCTACTCAGTAAATCAAAATACATCAGTTAATTTGCATAAGAAAGGAATGACAATCGTGAATAAGCAATACTTCCAAAAACACACGTTAAAAATAAAGACCAATAATACTAATATAGTGTTATTACTAAAGTAGATGTCTCCAGGTAATTTAAGCGCAGACACCTTTTCTCCCTATTTTGTAACGGCACCTATTATATCCCTCCTATAAATCGTTTGCCTCTGAAATTCATAATCCTTTTGAATCTTATCGAAGCACGATAAGCATTAGTTATTTGGTCGTTTGGGAACATTCTAATGGTAAATACCCACAGATACATTCAAACCGCATCAAGACAAGATTATGTTTAGTTAGCTTCAGGCATGATGAAGAACAATAGCAGTGTTAGTTCAAAACAATTAAGAATCTAAACAACAACAGTAAAGAAAAAAGACGTTAGACGCATTGGAGTATTGTGAAGGTTGGTACTTATTTAGACTTTTAAAAACATACACAAATGTGATGAAAGTCATTGTAAAATACGATTGAATCGGAAGTTTAAATTACATAGGGCAAAACCTTAAGTCGTACGACCTAAACATTCTAAATGGGATAACCTACTATTGATTGGCTAACATCCAGCAGTAGTCTGAACCAAAACAAGCCAGCTAGCTTTAACTGAAGTTAGTTCAGTGAAGTCAAACTGAGGTGACACAATAGGTTCTGGAGGAAGACTTTCAGGTACATATCAAGATAGCGATTAAGTTAGTTGGATTTAGTTTAAATTTACCCGATATACAGGTATAATGGTGGCTTTGAACAGAGATGCAACTCACGGTAAGAACGCGCACTTAATTTTATCAGTCGTAATTAACTGCACAAAAAAGCGTAATGAAAAATAAAGAGAATAGATGAGGGTATACAAGGAAAACCGAGCGTTTAGGACATGGAATCTCTCTACTAAAAGGAGTTGAGTGAATAAGGATGTTCCTGTAAATATGACACCCGTGCAAAACGAAACCTATGAAAATATGGATTCTTTGAGTTTTAACACACACTTTTTATTTTGGTTCTCTAACGTAGACGACATCCTGGGGCACAAGCATTATTTCAAGAAGCATATTAACCAAGGACATGTCAGCTAACAGTTTCTTAAAGCATCGAATCACGCCTCCATACTTGTTTATTTAATCTATGCGTGTCGCTTTGATCTGGTTCAACACTTTTTTCCAATCATACTATTCTTATGATTTTAGTGTAATCTACTTGGTGATACGCATCCCATTTCTATGGTGTGATAGTGACCGATCTATTGATGTTTTTGTAGTTAATTGAAAGATCTGGTGTCAAGATAACACGTAGCAGTCCTCAATACGATATATTAGTCATATTTGAATTACTAAAAACCTAACAGTTCCTCTGAAAGTGCCATGCGCTATTCCGGACAAACTTTTGTATCCATTGACAGCCAAAATGAATAGATTGGTGCTAAGAATTTGAGAGGAGGTAGAAAGCGATCAGCTTATATTGGCGGGACACTTCTCATAATTTAAAATGGTTTTACACTTTATTTTTACAGTGGAATCAGTGCTTATCTACACTTACTGCACAACAAGGAGTTACTCCCCAAACCTGACTCTTTCCTAAAGCTGGAAACTTGACCATATATGGTTCTAATATTTCGCTTTGGAATAAAATCTCGCCAAAACACAGATTCAAGAAACCTAAATAGGACGTGCCTGAAGAATGCAAGTAACATATGAGCGTCGATGAACTGCATGATTCAGTGCATTATAAATCAAGGCAGTAGTAAACTTCACGCCCGGCCGATAACTGCTACCTTGCCGTGGTGGTCGGGCTTGAATGCCGCAGTGACCCAACAAGCTAAACTGGCTGGGACTCATGTCCCTGCAGGTCCTACCATGCCAGGAAGGTTGTTTGGATAGCGGTTAGACTAAAAGCAGTTACCATGGGGTACATGGGCTCCAGAATCCAATCGGATCAAATGGCGTACGAATCCATATGGGTCATCGGCAACCATGGGAACGCAGCACCTGACGCTGCTCCGCTGCCTTGCGGATTAGACTCCAAGTCAAAGGCTCGGGGGGTGGTCCCTTAAGAAAACCACCTGCTTCGGTCTGGGCACCCGGGCAGTATCTTAGCCCTCACACAATAAATGAAATAAAGCAACAAAATATCAGTGGAACTTATCGCGCGCTCGTAACAATGCGTTCAAGCAATAATGATGTCTCAAGTAACACATCTCTTTCCAACCTTACTTTTATTTTTATACTTAGTTTCCTGTATTTTACCTTTGCTCACCTTGACTTAACCTTCGACAGCCTTTCGCCTTTGTCTGGATTCCTAGCCTATCTGTGTCGTTTCGAGATGTTAGTGAGTAACCCTCAAAATGGTTATCCCCAATGTGACATCTAACACAGATATCCTTGCTGCGAATGTCATCCCAGAGGCTTCCGTACAGGTCTCTGTTCGCTAGCCCTGGGACGGGATGGAAAAGGCGGAGGGGTGGTCAGTCCATGACGTGGCGTCGTGGGATGAAGGATATTTGTGCTAGATTAGCATCGGTTGGCGTGTCACGACTCCCTGGTTGGGGTCCGCGAGATAGCTCGAATCGATGGCTCGAAACGTTATCGGATATGGCCAAGAATCGTAATCAATGGCGAACATGTTACAATTTCCTTCTTTCTTCCCTTCCTGATGATAGTTAACGAATACTGTTTGAACTTGTTAAACATGACTGTTTTCCTTCCTGATGAAGTTCTTTATTCGTTTTCTACCTATATTTTTACTTTTAATCTATGTTGTTTTATTGTTATTGTGTGGCGCATCTTTCTTGGTGCCATATTGTACCAAGTTTTTCTGCGTTTAAATAAATAAATAAACTTCACGCTAAGACATGCATAGAAATATAGAGGGGTAAGCCTCCATTATTCTGCAATTGGGGATGTTACATCTGCAAAGTAAATCATAGAACGTAGAATTATATGAGGTTTTAAACAGAGGGCTAGTAACCTCACCTCTTATTTGCGAGAGTGCTGAAGGTTGTGATTTTAGGTTTGTTAGCTGATGAGGATTTGCTAAACGACGTCACATTTTCGTGCCTGCAGGTATCCTCGACTGGTTGCACAGTTTCTTCGCCATGTATAGGACTGTCCGAGTGTGTTGCATCCTCTGAGTCAAAAAAGGCTTTAATAGCTTCCTGTAATACAGTTATTAGTAGCACAAGTTAACTCGTACATCACAATCCCCATTAAAGGCTTCCAAGTAGTGTTCAGCTTCTGTCTCGGAAACCCCAGTAATATTGCAGAACTTTTCAATAACAGATGAGTCCATATCACCTATTTAAAACAGGAAGTGGCAATATTTTAATATAACCAGTGTTTACACATGAAACCCGCAATTAAAATGTAACGCAATTGTTCGACATACACGCGCTGTTTCCAATATCTAATGCAAATGATACGCGTATAAGTGGAAAAGCAGATTCTGTGTTACTGTCACCTAATGTACTCTTCCTGAGTTTTCGGATAGGTTGATTTGACGGCAAAGTTCAACAATAGCGTCCCAAGGGATGCGAACGCACGCGTGACCTTCAACCGACCAGTCATAAAAATGAGGAACTTTTGCACAAAAAGTGACGCATATTTACAAGAAAATGCATGAAAACAGATAAAACAGGTTATCTTTCTCTGACATGACTTAAAAATACGTCCCAGTTATAATGAGGACTATCAGCTGCTAAGTTAGACTAGTTTCTCTACATGTATTCACCGAGGTGGCTAAAGATGAGCTGTTTTTGTAAATTGTTTATCTCTCTTGTCCTGTTGTGCAGTCTTCCCCAAAAGCCCTCGGCCGAATTACTATGGTTTCCGGTAAGAGGACTGACGACTACCTACCATGAAAATGTGTATAATAAAACAGATTCAAATAAATGACATCAACTCTAAATCTATCCCTAGTCCTAACCCTAACATTAATCCTGATCCTAACACTACACTTAACACTAAACCTGATTACAACCCTTTTCCTAACTGCAAACCTAACCCTAATGCCAATTGTGAACCTGATCCTTGCCCTAATACCTACCTTCATCCTAATCCTAACCCGAACGAGCTATTAACACACCGTCGGAACAGCACTTAAAAACGTGATGTGTGAAATTTGCTGCTTAGGTGGTGAATAACGTTGATATTTCATCTGTAATATTGGCAGGTGCCGTTAGCCAACGACTAGCATGCGTTCAAGGTTATTGGAGCGTTCGCACTCCTGGGACACTACTGTTGAACTTCGCCGCTTCGACTTCCTTTGCAAAGTAAGATTATATTAGAGTACAGTGGGATATTCACGATTTTATCAGATGTTAAGCAAATATCCCTCCTCATTGCTGGCTTAAGTAAGCCGATTCATTTGTACTTGCTCAAAACTCTCGTTCTGTTTAAATAAAGAACACAGATTCGCAGCCGGTCGGTTATTCACCACCTACCTTAAATTGCTTTCTTAAGCAACTTTTCCCCCCATAAGTATCCAGGTAGGCCACAGGTGGCGGACTAAAATTTCGCTAGGTCCTCCTTTTGGTACAACGAAAGTGAGTGAAGACAATGTCATGATTAAATTCTTTGACGCTGAAAGCATGCAAATAGTGAAGCAAACTGGTAAGAGTTACTTTAATTGTTCACTCCCAATATAGGCGCTGAGGATTCTAGAATAACCGCTTTCCACCTATAGGAACTAAGTATTTAATACTTCCTTCTCGCTTCATCTCAAGAGATACTACAACTCCTCAAGGACCTCAAAGTTGAATGGTTAGTGTTCACACTAATTACCAAAGTGGCATGATCAGTTTCCGACTTAAATATGTATCAGTCGGATGTATTTTCTAAGTTATATCCGTATTTCCAACCAACAGAAGAATACCAAGAGCAATGTTTTATTCTGTCATCCAATTCAACCGCTACTTTCACGAATATGCCAAAGGAAGTGGAGACGGATTGCACAGGGCGATTATATGGTATATCTCCTTTGAATTGGTGCCACCTGCTTTACATTGTCGGCATTTGTGCGGTTTAGTTTATTCGAGTTGAGGATGGTTTTGCGTTTTGTCCAGACAAATGTATTCGACTTGGTTTTGGAGCTTATTTATCTCATGCTGGCTGAATTTATAAAACAGTAGATGTTTGATATTGTTCCTTAATATGTAAGTATTGTTTTAAGGGCAAGATACTTAAATATACGGTCCAAGACAGGTTTTTGTTATACCGAGAATGCTTCGCGTACATTATGACGACTGGCTTTTGAAAAATTTCTTTGCAGCATGAGCATACTCTGAGGAGAATGCTGAAGGACACTATGCGGTAGGTGAGTCATAAAAGTTTCTGAAATTCGCTTAACTACAGGAGTGATCCAATAACAAATAAATTTGGGTAGAATAAAAATAACAAATCTACCTACAGATTTCGCTCAGTTTTATGGGTAGGACGTTTTTGACTAGTAAACTATTTACTACATTCATAAAAGCTGAAACTCCCAAAATTAACAGTCTTGTTAGCATGAATACTGTTTGTTATCTATGCTTTCTGAGTAACTAATATAAAGAAAATCAGACACTGATGTTGTAAGAATTATGAACATCTCGAAAAATGAAACAGTTAGTCCTGTGAAGTTGTATGATACTTTGACAACTGAATAATTCCTTACCACGATTTCATCAGTTATATGCATTGGTAATTTGAGGTCACTGGAGTCGAAGTCACTGTAATAAAAGCTAATGATTTAAAGTATTTTTCACAACAGATGGAAGTTTAAAAACAACTTAGCAGATGTTTTTAGCCAGTCAACAGGAACATGTACAACAAGGTCTCGTCGGTGTCTGATTATTAGCTGTCATCTACTAAAATTTCTCTTCAGACTTGAGGGCAAAGTTAAACTTTAGACACCAGTAACAACCAACCAGCAAACGACCTTGAACGGACCAATCACATGAAAGAGGCGTTTATGATAAGTGGTAATGTATATTTATAGAAAAACGCATAAAAAATAGGATAAAACATTTACAACAGATACCTTTCACGAACATGGGGCAGAAATATTTCCCAATTCAGCATCGGACTATCAATAGAAAAGTCGCACCACATTCTGTACATATATTCATCTAAATGACTAAAAATGAGATCCTTTTGGGATCCATTTATACCCCTTATCCGATTTTTCAACCGGCCCCAAAATCCTTCAATAGAATTAGTATGAGTTCCGGTAACTGGATCCACAAAATCGTTTGAATGGTTCACTCGGTGATGACTATATCCCAAGGATGAAAGCGAATTATAACCTTTCCACTCTTCCGTGTGTATAATTGAACCTCGTTTGACGAGTCTCGTTATAACAGGTATTAACGTTGTAGCCTTTCTATCTCCTATTCTTTCAACGAACCCCTTTCGGAGGGAAGTATCGTATAAACCTATCACCCAGATATTATTCGCTCGCTGGCGACCACAGTTTCATCCACGTGCACGACAACGTCTTCTCCGCCCAACAACGAAGTGATCTTCTCCATTTTCCAGGATGCAATATCTCTGCAATGCTGGTACCATTGAGCTGTGGAGACGAGGCTGTTCTCCGTCTCCGCAGCCGCTGCTCTCACTGGCTGTTTTAATACCCAGTAGTTGCAGATATATAAAATTTGCGTCAAGGAGAGGTGTGACCTTGCAAAAAAGTTCCTACGAAATATTAAAATTATCAACTTCCCCTCTCTAATGCTAACACGCTTGGAACATATAGCACAACGATGGACAAATCCATCAATTGCCCTACCATAGCTTTTTAAGGTCATGATATCCCCATACGAACAAGTTCGCTCCTTCCGGAGCAACCCTAAATCCAGGCAATACTGGAAAACAGTGTCCTCCTCGAATTGCAAACGTAACCTTGTAAGGGCACGCATTTGAAATGAATCAACCGCTATACAACACTGAACTACGTTCGTGAATCTCATTGGATAAATCGACGTCGTTCGCTGATTGGTAGTTACTGGTGTCTAAAGTTTAACTTGGCTGACTTGAGTATAAGTCATTTATCATGGACCTTAAATTGGAAATGACCCGTTTTCAGACCACACACATAAACTGATCTGCATGCATGGCCATCCACCTGAACATCAACACTCAACATGTGCTGTGTTCCATCTTAAATGTTCACAGATATTTACTGAGTAGATTGGCTGTAACACTGAACAACTCTGATCAAAAGCATTCACAGACACTTAATATTCGAGAATTACTGGGCATGTGTAATTAACCTGAAAGGTTTCCCTAAATGGTCACCAAGTCAACAACACAATACAACAGTTATAAAGATGAAAAGCAGTCACTTGAAAAAGTCACTTAGTCTCCATAATAGCTTGAATCAAACTTTCGAAAATGGCGTGGTGACCACCTACACAATCTTCAAGTAGGGATTTGAAAGTTTCTTCGAACTTTGCAATCACACGGATGCTGAATTCCAGGTGATTGAAGCGCTATCTATTTTACCACCCCTGAAACACGAAAATCTAAGGGACCATACCTTCCTTCTTGTGAAGCCATCTTGTAAGTTGAATAATAATAATCTGTAGGTTTGTTTTACAATGGGTAACAGATTACGACCGATAGTCCTAGTTAATTCTCGCATTATTCATAGATGATTCAAAGAAAAAATATAAGTGTACTAGTGTTGTAAGATATAGAATATGCTATTGTATGCAAACCAATAGTGTCACCTGGCTACAGAGTCACTTGGTACACAAAATTACACAAGTGCCTACGCTAGGGAACCACAACCCGTAAAGACTGTCCTATCAACGAAACTATATTTCTGAGTATCTTCGAGGAACTCAGTTTGATTCCAGAAGAACTAGTTGTCGGAAATCATAATCATATCTGATTGCATAACAACAACTGTTTATCGTATAAAGAGAAATTTAAAGGAAGTCATTTCCTTCACTCATTCAAGAAGCATCATTCCAGCTACAGGTGACATGAATGAAGATGTCAAAGCCAGGCAGGAGCAGAAAATCAAGATAGAACTTCAATGATCCAAAATTAGTGTGGTAATCTACCACACTCAGCATAAGGAAGAAGATCCGGATTTTCTACACCAGCGCTAATTCAGTTCTTCTATATAGTTAAGAGACTTGGAGTTTCAATAAAATCATTTTCAAAAGGCTTCAGACTTTTATTAACAACCGCCTCCGCCTCAAACCGAAGATCATATGGTCAACCGGACATAATAGGCAACAAAGAAATCTAAAAACATACCAACCAAGAGCCTTTTAACCAAAGAATATGCCGAATAAATGTGTTTGAATTAGCCACACGCTGAGTATCGCCATGCGGTGCGCCCTGGAGTGGATTTTCAAGTGACAAATGAGTTTAGTGTCCCGGGATGACATACAGTGATCGTTTTGAGAGGGGGCGAAGATTGTGAGCACTCATGGAGCCTGCTAAGTAGGATTCTGAAGAACAGGACAAAATGGAGTTGTGTTTTTGAAACCCTTTGCTCCGCACTCAAGCTGAGGGAGTAATAATAGCAATTCAGCTAGGAGACATGACT